CCCCCTCCCCCTAGCAGCAAGATTATTTCAGCCATTCCTTCTCGGCATCCAAACGTGAGAAGAAAAGGCATGTAACTATAAAATATTAGGCAGAAGATTGTGTTTATTCAGTTGTTAGCTGTATTTATCCACTTGCTCAAATAATAAAGAGACATCAAAGGAGCTGCATGCCCAAGTAGCTCCATTAATCTTTACTGTGCATCAGAGATTAAAATGATCCACAAGCAGTTTTCACAGGCCAGGTTGGCTTTTTCTAAAATGATGTTTCTCTTCAGTGCTACATTTTGACTGCACTGGTGTTGGCGGAACTAAGTGGGAGTTAACCTGCTGGCAACTTGCTTTAAAAGAGCAGGGAAATCTCTGGGGTTTATCAGTTGCTCACACTTGCTCAATAATACATACGATGGATTGTTCTTCTGAGGGATGCACTGGAGAGGATGGATCCTTGTGATTGCAGCATTTGGTTATTGGTGTTTGTTCTCCCCCTCCTTTCTCTTCTTCTCTTCTCCCCTCCCCTCTACATCCTCTTTCTCTCTCCAGCTGGTGTAAATGACTGCTGTGGCCTCAAAGACCAAGAGAACCTGCTCACTCAGCTGAAGCCCCCTGTGGACAGCTGTCTCTCCCTCGCTCTCAGCTGATGGAAACTGCTAGTAACCACTGAATGGGGGAGAGTGAAGTAAAACCACAGGACCAGCAGCTGCAGCTCCAGCGGCGGCAGCAGCAGCAGCAGCAAGCAAGAGCTCTATTGTTCCCAAGTCTTAAACAGTTTTCTTCCTTTCCAACTGGAATGCACAATAGCTGGAAAGCCATTTCCAGTCTGCCTGCCCTGTGAAGAAATCCTGACTGGAGGGGCGGGTGGGAGAAACCCTTCGGGCAAGGGTTCTCCATTGTGCTGCTGGTTTGGAGAGCGAGCAGGTTCCTGGAAGGCATGGAGATGGGAGAGCAGTGTGCAGCTTTCTCTGGTGGTCCAGTGGTCTCAGCTCATCCAAGCAAGTGCCTCGAGGTTCTTGCGCTTCTCTGGTTTGGGATGTGGGTCGCTACGGCACAAAGTGAACTGGAAACTTCAGTGTATTTGTGGAAGACAGGTAAGTGAATCGGGAGTGTGTATTACTGTGCTGCCTTTCTGGTTACTCCTGGGGTACCAGCTTATGCACCTCTCCTGGCAGGAGGACAGGCTGTTTCCTGGCTGTTTAAGGTCTGTCATTTCTATAATCTTATAGAAAGAGAGGTTCCATGGAGTGATTAAGGAGAAAGGGAAAAATGGATCATGGCCAACAATTGTGGATATCTTAAGAATATCCCAAAAAACCCACAAAGAGGAGCCAGGAGAACTGCATGCATGTGAGATGTAGTTTGAAGTCTTTGTGTTTTAGGAGTTGTGGACTCTTTAAAGTTAGGTTGGTGGGATGGGATATGTAATGTGTGGAAACTGATCATGGGTTGGGAGAAATAATCCCCAAAGCTGTCCACATTTCATAACTGAAATGCTCATGGCACAAATACGCTAAGTGGTTTCAGTATCAAGCCAGGCAGATGATTCCCTGGATTAATAATGTGTCTGATTTTAGACAATGAACTCTTTTCTGGTTCTCAACTTTTTAGTAAAAATCAACGGTTTGTGAATCTGCTGCATGGATGTATATATAACCTTTTCAATGGCAGACAAATGATAATGTTATGTTTCTTAAAATACAGGCATATAACCTACTTCTTGTTCGAAAGGCATATCAGCTGAGTGCAGACTTAACATTCAAAAGATCAGCAGACTTGCAGCGTTTTAGAAAAAAAGCAGCTACTGTCTCCTAGAGTACAAAACAAATAAACTGAAAGATAGTGGTACTATTTCAGAAGATCTATTATTGAAAGAGATTTAGCAACAGCAGCAAAGATAGTTACGTATTACAATTTCAATCCTTCACCTGCTTACCGGGAAGAAAAACTCACTGAATTTGGTAGGGCTTATTCTGAGTAAAGCTGTATAGGGCTGTGCTATTTGAAATGATACAAAGATTTACAGGAGTGTGTGTGTGTGTCTTTTGCTGTTCAAGGGACAAAGAGAGTTAAATATACAGTTATAACAGTATCCTGCATTTTAATGATTACACCTATCCAGCTGTTCAAAGGAGAGCATAAAGATGATTCTGCTTCAATAGAAGTCAGGCTTTCCCAGCAAGAAATCTAAAAATTTGAAAAGGGGGAAAAACCTACTCTCTCTTTTTTTTGGTTTGTTCTGGATTTCAAAATATCAATGGCCTAGTGACCACAAGTACTATTATAAAAGTGATCATATATTATTTTCCTCTATTGCATTATTGATTAATCTAAGAGAATGTCTATCTACTGTCCCACTAAAGTCAGGCATCACAGGTTAACACTTCATAAAAGTGTATACAGCTAGTGATACCTACTTCTCTAGAGTTACTTACTATGTTCCATATCCATTCTAATAACACTTGTGAATTTTAAAATAGTATTGATTCTTTGCCTGATCCAGAACCAATTTATAGAATAAATAAGTCGGTGTTTTCCCTTCCCTGCCTTCCTTTACTGATTTTTTAAAATTTAATGGCTGATATTAAATACTATATATTGACAAATATTGGTAATCATTATAGTTAACAGTTTATTCCAGTGATGGTAATTGTCATCCATACTGTGCAGCCCAATGCAATATGTCACGGATTAAATCAAGTGTATTCCATATACATATCTATATGGAAGTTATGCTGTAAGTTAGCCTTCTTTAGGGAGTGAGGAATAATTTTGGGATAGAAAATAATTAATACTAATACTAATATTTCAGTTATGAATTCCAATTTCTGTTCTGTACAAGTACGTATACTCTTGTAAATTATACTTCTTGTAGATTTGTTGATTTTCCTTCTCTCCCCTGCTCCCCACTGTGGATTTTTATAGACTCCTCCTTGTATACTGTACATTTCCATGTTCTGATCATTCAGTCTGCATAGTTCTGCTCTGTCAGCTGCTAGAAGATTGGTCTCTGGAACTATATGAAAATGAAGCACCAAAGCCTACATTCAGACCTGGATACTGACTATCAATAACCCTTGGCAAACTTGAATGGAAAAAAAGTACAAAACTTTCCTCTGCTTGAAGTGTTTTATCCAAATCTCATTGTACATAGAGTACATCTGTGTCAACCATGTGGACATTCAATACCTTCCCTTGTTGTATGACTTTCAGACAGTCCTTCCTAGACAGCATGCTATGTAGGATATGGTAGAAACCTGACATCATCAAGTTAGTTAGTACACTTCAATGATGCATTTCCCTGGGTCAGGCTTCCAAAGCATCATTCCTTCTGAGCAGAAGTCCACAGCTTGAGGCCACCAAAAACTTTGAATATGTTCCTCCCCTGAAACTTTAGTTTTTAATATGGCAGAAGGAAAAATTAATAAGTTTGTGGGAAGTAATCATGTTAATTTTAATTACATTTAAATAAAAAAAATCAATTTAGTATTCTTGCAGGCTTCATCCATTATTCCAGCCTCTCCTACATTTTAATATCAGCACTGATTCTCCTTCCCCTCCCCTCAAAAAATTGAGTGCTCATGCTTTTAAATGGAACATAATGAAGAAACATAGGATGTGAGTGAAAATGTTCAGCATTCTAGGTGATAATGCATGTTCTAGAATCTAGAAGATGTAAGCTGTAGGATACATGCTTATGATGTGGTGAAGATCAAAGACTGAACATCTTGACTGATTTTTATTTATTTATCATATTTATATAGCCACCCATCTCACACAAAGCACCCATCTCACACAAAGTGATTTTCCCCTTCCATCTGTGTATTGATATTTTATGTTAATATATTCATGTACTAAATATTTGCTTTGGATAAGTATGTGTGAGAGCATCTTCCATATGATCTGCTACAAATTATATGAATGAACATTGAAATATTTAAAATAGTTGTTTTTTTTTTTCTATATATGAAATAGGCATTGCAATTGTAAACAGCAATTATTCATCCAGTGCAGGGACTGGCAACTCACAAGCTCCATGATACTGTTTTCCTTTTTTAAAAAAAAAAGGGTGGGAAAGGAGTTTAATTTCCACCCTTAAAATCTCCCCACCAATGGGACAAAAACCATGATTTGGGATTGTTTGGGCTGATTTATAATTTAAAATCTTTATCCTTGTCTCCTGTTCCCACCCATGACAAATCTGAGGGCCCCCAAAACTCCCCAAAATCATGCCACTTCTGCTAACATCACTGTGTCATTAGAAGGACTCCAGGGGGATCTGGCTTTTGGGGGAGCAAGTTGCACCTCCAAGCAATCCATTTACTGCTCACCCCTGACCTAACGAAGTACCATTTATAAATCAGGAGAATAACTTATGCTCATGTGGCCATACTTTATATTTTAAGTTCCTCATTTCATACATTTGCATCTTTCTGCATAATCTTTATATAGTTGGAAGAGGGGATGTTGTAAACCCTGAGTTCTAGCTAAATGAGCATAGTAGGTCAAAAGAAAGTTTGGAAATGAAAGAGTTTCCTTGCTTGATTCTATAAACAAGGGAGTGGCTTGGGTAAATTGGGAGAAATGCCCATATGTGGAGTGTTTTGCTTTGATTTATACTCAGACCACAAAGTGTATTGTTCCATGACTGGGTGCTACTGTTGGCCATTGTTGTATTGGAAAAAAAATGCTTTCCCTTAGAACTGTTGAGAGGGAATATGAAGGAAAGGGTATCTCACACAGCACTAGCAGTAGTACTACAAGAACTGGATCCCTGGGCACTCTTGCAGGGCTCTCGAGCCTAGAGGGCCTTCAAATTCAACATCCCATGTGTCCCTAAAAAGTAACAGTAGAAGTGCTACTGTCTGATAAATGGAAAAAGAGGAGAGATTGAGCTGTGGGAGGAGGGAACTGAAGGAACAGTAACTAAGAGTAGGAAGCTGGGCTACCAGGATGGTGTACAGGGAACCCAGAAAGCTTTCAGCCTAAAGCTTATATATTCATGGCACTACAATTGAGCACAATTGTACATGCAGTTGTTGACTTGGTACCAACCTCCAATGTGCATCAGTGCGGCTTATTATTCAGCTGATAAATACTTCAGCAAGTGAGCTCAGCTCTTAATGAGTTCAGCCTAGTGTCAGCTTACATGACTGGATCAGGGAAGAAGGTTGAGGAGAAGCTTTAGATATGGAGATCAGCTTTATTGAAGTTGGTACTGGCCCTAACTCAGGATACAGACAAGTCTAAATGAGTTTAATATGGCCCTTAATCACATGAAGCTCAAATTAACTGGGGGGGGGGGCATTTTGTGTTGAGCAAAGTGGAGCCTGCCTGTCAACACAACTAAATCTGGTGCCTTGATAATTTAGCTCATTTGACATGGGAGGTTAGCTGGATAAGTATGCTATAGAATCATGAGACAATGCAAGGTTAAGTAGGATAGAGATTCTACCCTGCCCCATCATTTGCAAGCTGAAATAATATATTCAGGCAGAAAGTATTTAGTGTCATAATTCTAGAGGTAGAAAACTACTGATCTTGGTTTACCCTAAAACTCTGTAATAGTGAGCCTGTGTTTGTATCTAGTGAAATAGTTTTAGGGTAATCTCAAGATGCATATTTAAAAATTGCAGAAAGGTTAAAGATTTTGGGGATGCTCTGAGCTACATTCATAAATCTGGATGTAATAAGAGGAGCCAGATGCCAGACGTCTAAATTTCAAAATTGCATTGCCATAAAATTTGTTGAGACATCTCTTGGGGTTGCTGATAATGACAGTACTAGTATTTATTGTACATTCACTCTTCTTTAACCTGAGCAACAAGGAGAGGAAAATGGGAAGGTTGGCAAGCAAGCTGGGGGGAGGGGGGTTGATTATCAGAGAATGGTATTTAACTTGAGGAGTAGACAGTTGAAACAAAGGATGAGGCATGTGTGTGGCATGGTGGAGGCAGTGTTTTCAGGGAGATGGGGAGGGCCCAGCTGTGAGCTTATTGAAAACAGCAGCTGTTGCTGAGCTGACCATTTTAATATGCTTTGTGTATTATCTCTTTAGATCAGTATCAGAAAATGTTGGGACCCCTCTACACAC